GGGACCCGGCCCCCAACCGGGTGCCCTGCCCGGCCAGGCCGCCCGGGACCTCCCCCAGGCCCCTGCCGGTCACCCGGGCAGCCCGGATCCCCACTCAGGTTTTTTACGGCAGGGACATTCTATTGCGAGGGTTTATGCCTCGGCATAGGGCCCTGCAGCAGGCACGTGCCCGCCCTAAGTGAAGGCAGGCCCCCTGAATCTCAATGCGCCCTGATTTCGTCAATTTTTGCAAACCTTGGGCAGCGCCAGATAGTGCCACGCACCAGTTGGTTACATCCACCTTGCTCATGAGAATCCAAAATATTTGTGAGCTTTCCAGGCTCTTCCAACAACATGATGGAAGCAGGGAGCATAGCACATTTATGCCTGGGTGGTTGGGCATGCCTAACTAATTTGGTCCCAGGCCACTGTCTGAAAGGACTTGGGTGCAGACACTTTGACGGAGACCGAAGCCACTGGAAACTCGGTCTCACGTGGGGGGCCAAGGCAAAGCGCCCGCCACTTTCCATATAGGAAAGCGCAAGGCGCCGGGCTCGATGGTGGGGCACTTGGAGGTGCAAGCGGCAGTGCTGCTGGAGCAAGGGCTCGTGGCTGCATGCTTAGCGCGGGCGCAAGTGCAGAGCGCGCGCGGACGTTCGAGTTGTGGGCGCTGCAAGAAGCCAGCACCATAGATGGGCCCTCATAGTCGGGCACCAGCTTGGATAGTCAGCGCTGATGGTGGTGGTCTTCGTGTATGGGACGTAATCATGTAAGACGTGGTTGAAGTTGAGGGAGAGAGGGAAAGAGGGAGAGAGAGATGAGGTTGATGATGTGTGGGCACGTACCTGGTCTTGGCGATGGTCTACAAGGTCGACATCTTCATGCACTTTGGTTGTTGCTGCTGACGTCACCGGGATGCATTGTCAATTCGTAGACTACTAGTAGCTGTGTAGTACTAGTCTGGGCGCTGAGCACCAAGGAGAACGAGGTGCTTTGGATACATGTGTTCGTGATGGCGAGAGTACGCTCTCATTCACATTCGGATCGGTGCTTTGGTTCTCCGCTGGTGAATATCAGCGCATTTCTGCTTTCTAGACGGCGTTGGACTTTCTAGCTTTCAATGTGAATTTGCATTCTAGATTTCTGTCATTTCGCTAGCATTCATTTTCCTTGCACTATGTACTGACTTTTTCGATTTAAAACAAGAATCATTAAAAAATCCAAAAAAAAAGTGCAATGTGCCCAGTCGTGATAATCAGTCGTCACTCGGAAAGACAAAGTAGATGAACGCTGCTGATAAATCAAAATAATAATGATCCCCAATGAGAGAGAAGACATACACAGACGAGAGAGGGAGAGGGAGAATAGACTTTGAGAGGGTGGAAGAGTTTCCTCCCTACAGCCCACTTCCTCTTCGGGCACTTCCTCCTCCTAACAGCATAATCGTGTCTCAATCAGAGATCCGGATATCCAAGACAATGTAGA